AATTAAATAAGACAGAATTAAAATTTTATTTTGAAAAAATAATCTATTAATATTTATTTGATATATCAATCTTTTTGCACCAGATCATATTAAAGAAATATATACTAGATAATAAAGAGTATTTGTTTAAATTTTATTAAATTTTATTTATTAATTAGAGTTATATTATTTATCAGAAGATTTTATTAATTAAAAATTCATCATTCTTCTAATTAATAATAATTTAACTATTAAATAGACTTATAATTATATCTAATAATTGACAGATATCCTGATGTTTGATGTTTTTCTTAGTTAATAATAGCATTTTAATTTTTATATATTAAATTGATCAAAAAATATGTTATATAAAATTGTGTAAATCGTCTTTTTTATTATAATATAAATTATCTCTGTATATTTTATAAGATTTACTAATTGTATGTATAGATTTTCAATATATAAATTTATAAATTTGTTTAGATGATGCAAAATATTTGACAGTCACTATATATGATTAATCAAGTAAATTTAAATTTTTTTTAATTAAAAATCTTTCAGGTAAGTTATATTATTTTATAATATTTTGTTTCAGTAATTATCAATTTTCTTGATTGCTTTTGTGCTATTATATCAATATTTCAAATTTTTGTGATAATTTTTTCTTGTTTCATCTGAGTTTCTAAAGATTGCTTTATTCAAGTATTCTCTGCAATTTCTTTTTCTTTAGCTATGCAAATGCATTAGTAAGTACATTGTTTTCCTAAATTATTAATAATTGCTAAATGATCGATGATTATCAATTTACATGTACATGTGCACGTATATCGTGTGTGGATGTACTGTGATCGCTAAAGCTGGGATATCCTTATGTCAAGCGAAACGACCCTGATCCGAATAACTAGTTCACACCCGGAAAATTCTATTTTGATGATTTAAGGTTTGGGTTTAGGGTCGGGCCAAGACTGGAGACTAGGTTAAATACAAAATTGCCTTCCCAACATTTTTTATTAGTACACTAAACTAGATTTTGGTATCTGTTCCTCGTATTTTTTGAATTTTTCACTTCTGATATGATCAAGATTTTACTTATTCTTATTGGCTTAAAAAGATCGTCAGGATCGGAAAATGCCCGTTTTTCGCTTGAAATAACATCTAAAGCTGTTTATCGAAGTACAAATATCTTAATTGTGGGGGCGGTTAAAGAATAGCCCATCACATGATCAGAGTGGCTGATGTACACTTTGGAATCGGGAATATCATCCTCCGATTCTCCGATGGGAATGATAATCAAATGAAAACATTTTTTACCGTCAATTTGTCATCAGCCTCTACCTCTACTTCCGTTACTACTACTGGAAATGACTCGGTTATGCTGACGGATGAAATTAAAAAATATAAAACGAAGGGACTTGTCGACTTCTTGAGTAAGGAAGGAGACTTGAAACTTGAGGAGGAGGACTTAGAAATAAGTCGCAAGTAAAAGGTTAATGGTAGAGCTTCGCTGTGTGTGTGAGTGTGTAATTTTGTCATGGCGCTGAACACAAGATAAACTTTCCTACTTCCTTATTTTTTTTACTATAATAAATTCATTTCTTACCATTCCTAACAAAATTCTCTTTTTTTTATTTTTTCTTGCTATTTACCAGGTGCATTAAATCACGTGTTTATCATCTCCTGAACAAAAAAACGCGCTCTTGCTTCAGCTGTTCCTTTGATTGCTTGAAATTGCAACATGAACTCTTCTACAAGTCTTGACTCTAATTTTTTCCTATGCCTGCAATCCTATCTCCCTTTCCTACATCCTCAACTCCTAATATAAAACGCGTTTTCCTACACCTGCAAATTATCTCACTTTTCACATCAACTCCTGATAATAAACGCGTTCTTCTCTTCAATGTCTCTCAACCAATTGAGCTTCCAATGCTAGAATTCGAAAATGAATGCTGGACTTTTGTGGATGAATTATAATTCGAAATATCATATTAACAGTGATTCATGGAAAGTTTTCACTGCCTGATTCAATAAAAACAAAAAATCAAGCACGCATAGAGAGGATGTTACAAGTAATAAATGTCGGAAAACAGGGGTTCGGCCAACAAATTTATGTTCCGTCAAAATAAAAATATATCAGTTCGTTGCAGAACAAAAGGTAAGAATTGAACGATATCAAGAGAGTCCCGATACTCATACGTTAGAGAAAAGCGAGAGACTCCAAAGCATTTGTTGAAGTCACTTGCAAAAGGATGGAAGAATGCTGTCGAGCCCAGAGAGCTCATTGATGTGTATTCCGCGTGCTATATCTTATAATGTACTGTTGAATGGAGGAGACCGGGCACTGATGAATCGCTTCTAGGATAACATCATCGCAAATAAATCTTCGATGTTCTGTGCATGGCTTGGATCATCTTGTCGTAGGTTTTTGCATCGTAGATTTTATTCATCCAAGTTCTCATGACTAGCACAGACAGAAGATAACGTCACATTCTTGCTCGTTACTTGAGGACCCGAAAACGGGTTTTGCGATGCTATTTGCTTCAACATTGCTTTGATCAGCGAGAAAATATCGTGGTTTCCAGCCTTGTACAGATCGTCAAATTATGATTAATGCCTCTGCCACCGTATCGCTATCCTCGTTACTTACGAAGAAGTGCGATCCTACATCCCAGCCCCCATAACTGTCGCGAATATATAGTGTGAACAGACGCCAGTCACGTTTATTGGTTTTGTGGGTAGAACTGATAAGAGTCAACCAACCAGTTTTTTGGCTTGTTCGGGATGCACGAAAATAAAACATTTGGAGGATCGTCGAGGAATTTCGTAGCCAAAATCTTACCTTTCAGATTTGCTAAATTCCTTATGAGTTGCAATTAGTTTTACTCTTGAGATTTTAACTAAAGATAAGAAAATTGCTTGTACTATCTTTTTATTTAGTTAGACTATATATGATTTATTGATATTATTATGAAATAATATTTTTGTTTTTTTAAAAAGGAAACTGCGTCATTGATGTCTGCTTCTAGCTCGGTATTACAAAGAAGATTGGTATTGTGAGATTGGTGAATTTTTGTACTTGATATTAATTACCTCTCTTCACCTTAACTCTTTGACGCTTGAGCCAAAGATTTAATTCTTTTAATGCGTATTCCTTAACTGCCTCGACAATTGCCGGTGATAGATAATTTCTTATCGCTTCCTGTTCTACCAGATTTCGAACGACTTGTGATCGTTTGAGTCATACCATGACAAGTTCACGAAATATTTGTTAGCATGAATACAAAATGATGCGACTTGAATATGTGAATACAAGCGAAAGAGTCATTGTGTTAGTATGTAGAATTTCTCAACATTGTAAATTAAATTTTGTTGTATATTTCTATTTCGTATTCTAAAATTTAACTGAATGCTAGGTTAAGGCCAAGCAAAATAAATTTATTGTTTCTCATAACCCGGCCGGGTCAATTTTCGCAAGTCTTTAAAAAAAATTTATGATAAAAACTCCCGGGTGGGATTTTTTAAAATATTGAAAAAGAATTTATATTTTTTGAGAAAAAAATTATGTAAGATTTTTAGAAAATAAAATTAAAAGTCGGGTATGCGGTCACTTTTAAATTTTTATGTTATGAGAACCAACAAATTAATTTTGTATGGCCTAAGTCTCAAGTTGAGATGCATTTTTTATACTAATTCCTCTTTATAAACATCACAAAATGAGTGAATGATAATCATAAATAAATTGTATGTACATATATTTACGTTTTATCTCCGTGGAAGAAGACTATGCGCACAATACACGCTTAAAAATCACCAATCAGATAATTTGATGCTCAATACATATTACCATAACGATCGCTATTGACGGCCTAGGATGACAAATTGGGAAACAATGCAGATACCAAAGTTGACACTGAAAAATTTAGGATATCAAAACAAATATCCATATATATATTTCACTGAGTTGTTCAATTGATATATTTGGTTGGTGTCTGTTGACTGGCTGGCTGTTGGTTCGTTGGTAATTTAAAAAGTCCGTTGTTAAAAATGGATAAAGAATTCTTCTACGATGAAGTCATAAAATGAGTGAAAAAGACTGATTTGGACAACCAAACGGACTGAGATTTAAAAGAGTTTAGCGTCATTCATTATGAACGTAAAACCACGCTAAATTTAAATGTATATGATTAGCACATGTCGCATTGCGCCGACTCACGCGAACTTATTAAACAAATAATAATGGATTGGATCGTTTGAAATTGTTAAACATTGAGATGCGTACGGATTATACAATAAGATCAGAAAAATATACCCAAATTTTTCATAAGCAATCGGAGAAGAATCTTTAAACTTATAATTCTTACTTTGATATTTGCCGACTTGATAAAGAAAATGGTGATTGTAAAACAATAAAGTGAAATGAAATAAGCGGAATTCAAAGACGCGACTTTTTTGCGTGCGAAAGAATTTTTAGAAAACAAACATAATAATACTAAGACCAAATAACAAACACATTAAATCAATTAAACGAAAAATTGATATAAAAGAGAGTCAGAAATGCTTTGCTCAATCTCTCGCAATCTCTCGCCGCCCCGAACACAAAAACAAATAATGTCAACCATCTTAAACGACAAAATTCCACTTGAAATCGACGACCCCTACATAAAACAACAAATCGAATCCATTGAACCAGACCTCGAACTGAGCATTGACGATCTTACTGAACCACAAATTGTAAAAAAAGGGCAAAAGCCACCACGCCCTTCGAACGCATGGATTTTGTTTCATAGAAATTTCAAAGCTTGTAAAGGCCAAAATCTATCACCAATAACAACAACAGTTGAGGCCTCTTTACACTGGAACGAACTACCAGAAAATAAACGCCATGCTTGGGCTTTGTTGGGGCAGATTGCCGAGCAAAAACATAGTCAGCTTTACCCGACGTATCGGTACCAACCCAATAAGTCTAATAAAAATGTTGAGGTAACTGGTAGAAAAAAACCAGGGCCAAAGAAAGGCTTTAAAAAGGACCCATACAATAAAAATTATTCTAAATATATCAATGTATTTTCACGAAATGAACAAAAAAGAAAGTCGGATTCATTAGGAGATCAAATTAAGGATCCAGAACAAATAGTTCAAAATGCATCCAATAATTTCGATCAACAGGATCTCAGCAATGAACTAAATTTCAATGTCATCCAACAAGATCCGATGATCGATAATGATGGTCTATATTACAGCCATATAACAACTGTAAATGGGTTTTCAGAGAATCTCTTTTCAGAATTCGACCATTCCTCTTCATTCATTTCCAACTCCAGTTCTTTTTATGAACATCCTGTTGTTGGCCCATTATCTTCAATTACTGATTTCGATCCAGCGTATTATTTCAACAACATAAACGACACCAGCAATCAAACTTTGGACGAAATTTAAACATTGATTAATTATCTCAACATTTT